TGAGATACGAAATGAACAACAACTTGTGAAGAGAAGTCCATACAAGATTTACCAAGAAAGTAATCAGAATACTAATGCTACAAATGGCAAAAGACATAAGACTGCACTATAACTGGAAAGATATATGTTGATGTAATGAAAGTGTATAATAAAGTTAAATTTAGAGTATTATGTATAAAATGAAATGATAATAGTTATAGTCAAATCAATGATTAATAATGATAATAATGCATATATATATATATATATATATATTTATGAAAAAATCATTTTTGTTTCATCACTATGGTTCATATTCACACACAATAGTTATGGGAGAAGAAACATAGGACAGCCTGCTATATGCTTGAGTTTTTCAACATAATGTAGGATATAAATGTAATAAAAAAAATTAGAGACAGTTTGGTCTAGTGGTTAAGGAAGAAGCAGAAACTGGGAAAATGTGAGTTCTAATCATGCATTAGGCAGGGAACCAGCTGGGTTTAAGCAACCCTAGAAAAGAGGCAATGTCAAAATACTTCAGAAATATTGGCAAGAAGATGAGAAAGGCTTATCTAGGCAGTCATCAGGAGTCAAAAGCTGAAGGGAGAAAGAGAGAGAGAGAGAGAGAGAGAGGAAGAGAAATAATACATAAACATTAGGAAAGTTAAGATCACAAAGTGGTATTGTTGCAAAATGCTGCCATGACATCTAGGACAATCAAAAAAAAATACCCATTTGCAAGAAATCAAATGGATAAGATATTCTCTATGCCCTTTCTACCCAGACCCATATCCCTTATCACTGAATGCTAAGTCCAACCCTGGATGCTTTTGGCATTTTATTTGTTTTAGGTAGGTGGGCACACATCCAAGCTAATCACTGGGTCACCACCTACTTTCATTTCCATTTTTTTCAAAGTAATATCATCTGGCAGATAGTCAAGCCAAGACAAAGTTGATTTCAGTCAAAGAAATAAGAGCACATAAGAGACATTTTCACAGTTTAAGATAATTCTCCAGGCTGACAGTTAATATTGCAGCAAACTAGCTTTCTTGTACTGTAAAGTGAACCAGTTATTATCTCTATTTTATTATCTCTAGCAGGAACATTTTGCAAGCCTTCCTTTTTTAAGCTAAGACAAACATGTTCTGCATTACTCTAGAAGTATGATATTTACCTCCATCAAAATCATGGGGGGAAAGACCCATTTTTTCAATCAAATATTTTCAAGCTACAAGGAAACAATTATACCTGGGGGAACCTGGGGATGGGGTGCAGAATTGTTTCAAAAAGAGACCGTAAATTCATTTGATTCATTCCTTTTTTCCCCTGCAATGTTTCAAAAAATAAACCACTTTAAATATGACTCTTAAATCTCCCACTTTCTGTGGTTTTTGTGGAGTGCCTAAAAATTACTACATGATGGCATCAAGTAGGGCCATCAAAAATCAAGATGGCCACCTTGCCTATGTGATTAAAGTCCTGCCTATTTATTAAGGACCTTGTATATGTAAAACACACACACACACAAAATAAGAACAGGGTTTTAGCTATGTGGTCCTGAATGCAATTTATATAAAGCCAATCATTGAAGTTTAAGCCAGAATTTCCATATGCCATATACCCTTTTTATTTACCCGTACAAATTATTTCACAAATTTCCCTATATATGTGAGTCCTGCTCCCATCCTCTATATTTCCAGAGAGCATCACACTTGAGAATCAAAAATATTGGTCTCTACCAGTTCTGATGAAAATCTTGGCCTTTTAAAACATTATGCTGCTATGGAAGGAAAGAAGCCATCTTTATTGGAAAGTTTAACCACAATCATTTAAATTCTTAAATTTTTGAGAATCCCATCTTAATCTTAATTACGTTGGATCATCCGCAGTGAACTAATGGTTCCTTTAGGTTCCTTGAATCAATAAATAAGGCCTTTATGTGAAAGTGGAATAATGACTTAGGGTAAGAAGCCAAGCAGGTCAATGAATTTGCGAGATTTTTGACTTTAATCTCGCCATTTCTTTCACCTTTGTGACAAGGAAAAGATGCAGTAAGAATGATTTCAGTAAGGGGGGAAAAACCCTGTGTGTTTAAGAAAGAGCCAAAGAGTTTAAACACCTATTGCAGGATCCAAACTTGTGATCCTGATGGCCTACCCCAGGGGTGTCAAACTCAAAGCCCATGGGCAAGATCTGTGGGGTGCTTAGAACTGGCCCATGGGGCTGCCCTGGAAACAGCGAAGGACCCATCCGCAGCGCATCTGCCAGCAGCAATGGAACTCGGAAGAGCCGGTTCCCTTTTCGTTGAGAGACGGTTGTAGGAGGCCAGAAACGGAGCTCGCGAAGGGTATGTGCAGCCCTCCCAAACACCTTTTTTGCTGGCAGAAGTTGCAGGAGGCTGGCCCAGCCAAAATATTTGGATGTTTATTATACTTGTATGCTGCCCTATTCCCGAGGGACTCAGGGCGGCTAACAAACAAGTGGGGAAGGGGGAAATACAAAAAACAAACAAGACAGAAACAAGATACACAAAACATTAAAAACAACACAACAGTCACAACAATTCAAGTGGGGCTGGGAACTTATCAGCCCCAGGCNGGTAGATTTGATGAACTGGTTCTACCGAACTGGTGTGAACCGGTAGGAACCCACCTCTGATTTTATTACACCAAAGGCCAATATTTTGAATGATTGACTACATGTTAAGTGTCAATCATCATTCCAATCTTTCTTATTAAGCCCTAAATTATACAAGAAAAGCTGAATTCCAGATCCAGTATAGGTTTCCATATGTAAAACACATGGAGGAAATGCATAATTTACTTGAAGGACATATTTGATATCTGCAGCTATATTGGTGCAGTAACCAATAGGTTAATGAAGATCTAATTCATTGTCCTGCATTACAAGCAACTTGAACTAAATCTATTATCTCAGTATATAAAATATACTGAACAGTCAAAATCTATTACAGTGCTTTATTATGCTTTGCAGTAGCAGATCCAGTTGCAAGTGTGATTAATGCTTGCTGTATGCCCAAGTACACTTTATTATATTACGAAATCAGTAATGTCTTTTCCTTCTTCTGAAAAAATCCAAATTATATTCACACAAGAATTTATCATTCATAATGGTGACTGCACACTAAACATCAGATTTTGAAATGTGGCCTGTTTTATTTAGCTGTTTTCCATGATTCTTCATGGCAAGAAGGATCTAAGAATCTTATATAAAGTTATGATTCTTATTTATAATTTTATTAATCATCAAGATCGTTTAAGATGACATATTTATATTGCAGAGATAAAGAAAAACATATTGCTCATAATTTGAATAATTTTATCAATCTCCATATGTTAATGTAGGGAATAATTTTCAGATTTTAATAATGCATTTTTTTTATATGGAAAATATTGAAGAATTATTCAATGCCTATAGGAGTATAACAGTAGTTATGGTAATAATTTAAAAGATTGATTTCACATTAAAGTTATTTTATTATATATATATATAATATATCCCAATAAGGGTATGGCTAGCTGATGAGAGCTAAATAGCTTGAAATAGATCTATACTAGTCTCCCTTTATTTATTTATCAGCACAAATACAACNATCTCCACGGGGAGATCTTTCCAGAGGGCCGGAGCAGCCATAGAGAAGGCCCTCCCCCGAGGGGTCAACAGTCAACATTGGCTAGCTGATGGTATCCGGAGGAGGCCTAATCTGTGGGATCTGATTGGTCGTAGGGAGGTAATTGGCAGGAGGCGGTCTCTCAAGTACCCAGGTCCGAACTCCCAAGCCCATTTTTGCTGGCAGAGCATTCCGGCCACAACTGTTGTGCCCCAACAACAGTGTCATCAATCTGGCCATCCTGGCCACATCTCTCAACCCTGATGAAATTGAGTGTGACATCCCTGACCTACCCAGATTGGATCCTGAAACTTTATCATGTACTGTATATTGGCCTTCATTCATCAACTTCTTTTGACAAAGCTTGCAGCTGTCTGCGAATCCTTGCTTACTCTTTGATTATCCCTTTCACCTTCTAGGACCACCTTTAAGGAGTTTGCAGAGAAATATGGCACAGATCAACGTTTTCGACTGGTTCAGAAAAAGAAAGACCAAGAGCATTTTTTCAACCAGTTCATACTTATCCTTAAAAAGAGAGACAAAGAGAACAGAATAAGGCTACGGAAAATGAGATAGAAAGGAAACCTGCAATAAGAATCCAAGTCATCTACAGCAGAGAAGATGAATGGCATGCATTTTAATATCATCTTTTTGAGTTTTTTACTCCCAGAAATTAGAGGAAGAAAAATATCAGAAAATCCGAAGAGCCATCGCAGCACACAAAGTTTCTGTCTGTTGTATGTGGGAGACTGCACTGCAGAAATCTGTAGTATATTTCATTCTCAGAGACTTAATGTTTCATATTGAAGCTCTCTTTTTGTACAACATTCAAATTTGATGCGTTTCTAATTACATGATATGTCAGTCCCTTAATTGTTTTAATAATTTATGCAAATTATTTGTAATATACACAAAATTGAAATCCAGCGTGATTTGTTATTAAGCAGATGCCATCCATAATAATATCAAGGATTTTTTTTAACCATTTAAGGAAAAAAAATAAAAAGTAACACTAATACTTCTCTGCACCTTTATTTGGAAATAAGTCCTGTTGACTTCACCAACACTTGCTCCCAAATAAAAGTGGTTAAAAATGCTGCACAGTTACGTTTTGGCAGCTTTGTACATTAAACAAAAAATAAATGGTTTAAAGGTCCAGTGATACTGAAGAAATCATTATTCAATGTTCATAGGTCTAAGTCTAGTTTTCTGAGTCGTAGTAGTATTAGGGTATTAATTGTAATCATAGTGAAGATGTGAAAATCCTGGCATCTTTCCTGTAGAACAGTGTATAAATCTTTACCAAAAAAAAAGAAAAAAAAGCTTTGTAATTAAATTATTCTCAATAATGCTCCAGGCACATCAAGAACAGCAGCACTTCTATACTAAAAGCTATTATAAAGAAGTTATTTTGTAAACCCATCCTACTAATATTTGAGTTATTTTTATTGTATGCGAAGAGTTTGCATGAGATCAGTCTCATCTTTGTATAATCAAAGATTTTAATCTTTTTTTAATTAATAAATATTTTAAGACTATTGGTCATGTTATTTTTCCAAATGATTGAAACCATCTTTAAAATTGCAACTTTTTTCGGGTATTTAATTGAAGACTGAAGAATAAGTATGGAAGGGGAAAACCTCTTTCTAATTCTAGGCCAATATTATTTAATTTAGTTCCTCCAGTAGTAAGCAATCTGATGTCTACTTCTCTAGTTCAAAACATCTCAAAATACCCTTAATTCTATGTATACATAAATGAAATACCAAGATGAAGCTAAAATAAGAATAGCAGTTGTTCTTTTACTTATGTTATCGTATCTTATGTTCCTCTGCTTCTTTGCACCCAAAAATAATTATTGCAGCCAAAAGTAATGATCA